AGTTACTTGAAGTGGAGTCGCATGTCGACAGGGTGAAGAAGAAGGTGGTTAGCACGCTTGCCTTTATTGGTCAGAGCACTGAGTATAGGAATTGAGACATCATATTGCAGCTTTACAAGACTTTGGTGAGGTAACTTTTGGATAACTGCATACAATTCTGGTTGCCTTGCTATAGGAAGGATGTTGTTAAACGAGAAAGAATGCAGAAAAAATTTCCAAGGATGCTGTCAGGACTGGATGGTTTGTATTAGAATCATAGAATTCCCTCGGTGTAAGCAGGCAATTCTGCACAGTGAGTCCACACCAACCCTCTGAAGAACATTGTTCCAGACCCACCTCATCCCTGCATTTCCCATGGCTAACCCACCTAGCCTGCACATCTCCAGACACTATGGGCAATTTAGCTTGGCCAATCAATCTAACCTGCACATCTTTGATCTGTGGGAGGAAACCAGAGCACCAGGAGGACACCTACACAGACACAGGGAGAATGTGCAAACTCCAAACAGACAGTCGCCCAAGAGGTGAATTAAACCTGGGTCCCTGGGGCCGTGAGGCAGCAGTACTAACCACTGAGCCACCTTGCTGTCTATAATGAGTTATAAGGAGAGCCTGGGACTTTTTTCCTGGGAGCGTCTGAGGCTGAGGGGTGACTTAATAGAGGTTTATAAGACCATGAGTGGCACAAATATGGTGAATAGTCAAAGTCTTTTTTTTCAAGGGTATTTAGTAATGTTGATCCTCTTATCAAAGAACAGTATACTAGCATTAGAAGCAGTCCAGAGAAGGTTCACAAGATTGATACCAGGAATGGAGGGACTTTTTTATGAGGAGAGGTTGAGGACTCTTGAAATTTAAAAGAATGAGAGAAAAACCTTATTGAAATATACAAGATTCTTAGCAAACTTGACGGGGTTTTTTTTCTCCCTCCTGAGACGTGGGCGTTGCTGGCTGGCCTCCTTTCCCTTGAGAAAGTAGTCGTGAGATGTTTTCTCGCACGGCTGCAGGCCATGTGCAGTAGATAGGCCCACAATGTTGTTAGCAAAGGAATTTTAGGGTAGATGTGGAAATGTTGATTCCTCTTGGAGGAGAGTTTCAGACCAGAGGGAATAATCTTAAAATTCGGAATAAGGCAGATAAACCGATGGTGCAAATTGAGGTAAATGATTATGACTTCGTAGCCATTGTGGAAACATGGCTGCAAGGAGATCAAAACACTGAACGTAACATTCAGGTATATTTGACCTTTAGGAAAGACAGGAGGGAAGGAAAAAGTGAGAAGGGAAGCATTCTTAATGAGATGCCATGAGTCTAGTTGTGAGAGATAATCGAGGCTCAAATGATATAGAATCCACTTGGGCATAGCTGATAAACAGCAAGGGAAAGAAAACATTTGTAGGATCAGAGTACAAACCCCCAAACAGTAGTCAGTTGTGGAAAAGACTATAACTCAACAAATAATAGGAACATGTTAAAAAAGAGCAATAATTATGGGTGATTTTAATTTACTTGTTGATTGACTTAATCAAGTTGGAAAGGGTAGCTCTAACATTAACTTCAAAGAGTTCATTAGGCAAAATTTGTAAAAGTAATATGAAATACAGCCAACCAGGGAATAGGCTATCTTGGATCTGGTAATGGGTATTGAGGCAGGTTTAATAAATTATTCCAAGTAAAAGATCCCCAACGAGGTAGTGATCATAACATGATAGAATTTAATATTCAGCTCCCTTGGTGCCCTTCAGAATATGATGGTGAGCTGCCTTCTTGAACCATTGTAATCCACGTGATGTAGGCTGACTTACTGTCCTTCGGGAGGGAATTCCAGGATTCTACCTAGTGAAAGTGAAGGAACAGTGATATATTTCCAAGTCAGCATGGTGATTAGCTTTCAGGGTAACTTGGACCATAAGACCATAACACATAGTAGCAGAAATTAGGTCATTCGGCCCATTGAGTCTGCTCCGCCATTCAATCATGGCTGATAAGTTCCTCAACCCCATTCTCCCGCTTTCTCCCCGTAACCCTTGATCCCCTTGATGATCAAGAACCTATCTATCTCAGTCTTAAATGTACTCAATGACCTGGCCTCCACAGCCTTCTGTGGCAGTGAATTCCATAGATTCACCACTCTCTGGCTGAAAAAGTTTCTCCTTATCTCTGTTCTAAAAGATTTTCCCTTTACTTTAAGGCTGTGCCCTCGGGTCCTAGTCTCTCCTGCTAATGGAAACATCTTCCCAAAATCCACTCTGTCCAGGCCATTCAGTATTCTGTAAGTTTCAATTAGATCCCCCCTCATCCTTCTAAACTCCAATGAGTATAGCCTCAGAGTCCTCAAATGTTCATCATTTGTTAAGCTTTTCATTCCTGGGACCACCTTCCAGGGGTTTCCCATGTATCTGCTGCCCTTGTCCTTCAAAATGGAAGTGGTTGTAAGTTTGGAAGGTGCTATCTAATGATCTTTTGTAAATTCCTGCAGTGCATCTTGTAGATAGTTCACACTGCTGCCGCTGAGGTGGACGGAGTGGATACTTGTGGATGTGGTGCTAATCAAGCAAGCCACTTTGTCCTGGATGAGCCAAGCTACTTGAATGTTGTCAGAGCTGCATTCATCCAGGTAAGTATTCCATCACAGTCCTGACTTGTGCTACGTAGATTGTGGACAGCTTTGGGGAGTCAGGATGTGAGTTACTTGCCAGTGTTCCTAGCCTCTGACCTTCTCAAGTAGCCATTGGGTTTATATGACAAGTCCAGTTGAGTTTCTGGCAATGGCGATGGCTGGATTGTCTCTTATTAGAAATGGTCATTGCCTGGCTATTGTTTGGCATGTCAAGATATTGTCCAGATATTGTTGTATTTGAAGTTGGATTACTTCAGTATTTGAGGAGGCATGGATGGTATTGAACATTGTGCAACCATCTGTGAACATGTCCATTTCTGACCTTATGATGGAGGAAAAATCATTAATGAAACAGTTAAAAGATGTTTGGGCCTAGGAAACCACGCAGAGGAATTCCTGAAGAGATGTCCTGGAGCTGAGATGATTGACCTCCGACAACCATAACGATATTTCTATGTGCTGGCATGACTCTAACCAGCGGAGAGTTTGTCCCTTGCACCCATTGATTTCAGGTTTGCTAGGACTCTTTTATGCTACAGTTGGTCGAATGCGGCCATGATGTCAAGGGCTGTCACTCTCACTTCACCTCTGGAATGCAGCTCTTTTGTCCCTGTTTGAACCAAGGCTGTATTGAGGTCAGGAGCTAAGTGGCCTTGTTGGAACCCAAACTAGGTGTCAGTGAGCAGGATCTTGCTGAATAGGAGTTGCTTGAAAGAACTGTTATGACATCTTCCTGATGATCAAAAGTAGACTGATGAAGTGTTAATTGGCTGGATTAGATTTGCCCTGCTTTTTGCATAGAGGATATACCTCGGCAAATATTCACATTATAGGGTAGGTGCTAGTGTTGTAACTGTTCTGGAACAGCTTGACCAGGAGAATGGCAAGTTCTGGAGTACAAGTCTTCAGTACTATTGCCAGAATGTTGTCAGGGTCTATAATCTTTTAGTATCCAATATTTCCAACCCATTTCTTGAAATCATGTGGAGTTAATCAAATTGGCTGAAAACTGGTATCTATGATGCTGGTGAACATTGGAAGAGGCTGGGATGTATTACCCACTTGGTATTTCTGGTTGAAGATTGCTGCAAATGTTTCAGTCTCATCTTTTGCACTGATAGAGTCATAGGTCGCAGAAACAAACCCTTCAGTCCAACTTGCCCATGCCAATCAAGTTTCCCAAACTAAACTAATCCCTCTTGCCTGTGTTTGGCCCATATTCCTCTAATATTTTCCTATCCATGTACCTGTCCAAATGGGTAGATTGTTTTCCTTGGAACAGAGAAGGCTGAGGTGCGACTTGATTGCGGGGCAACATGATTGACGGATACAAAATTATGACGGGTAGGCCGAGAGTTCAAAAACCAGGGGTCACAGATTCAAGTAAAGTGGCAGAACAATTAGAGGATATGTGAAAAATTACTCTTTTTATGTAGAGGGTGATGAGAGTCTGCAAGTCGCTGCCTGAGTTGGTGGTGGAGGTGGAGACCCTAAACTCTTTCAAAAATCATCTGGATCTGCATCTTAAGTGCTGTAAACTGCAGGGCTGTAGGCCGTGTCCAGGAAGATTGGATTAGAAACAGCACCTGGTGTCTTTGGGCCAAATAGTCCCCTTCTGTGCTGTATAATTCCCATGGTTCTATTGATGTTGAATTTCAAATTATTGGCAAAGGGAGAGGCTAAGATAGTGATCCAAAAAAAAATTCTAATCTAAAACCTAAAATAAATGAGGGAGGTAATGGCCTAATGGTATTATCACTAGTCTGTTTATTCAGAGACCCAAGTGATGCTCTGGTGACCTGGGTTCAAAGCTTGATATGGCAGATAGTGCAGCTTGAAACCAACAAAAATCTAGAATTAAGAGGCTAATTAATAATCATGGCCATGAATCCATTATTGATTATTGGGAAAAAATACACCTGGTTTATTAATCCCTTTGAGGGAAGGAAACTGCCATCCTTACCTGGTCTGGCCTAAATGTGACTCCAGACCCATGGAATATAGTTGACTCTTAACTGCACTCCAAGCAATTCAGGATGGGTAATAAATGCTGGCCTAGCCGGTGACATCCCATCCCATGAAAGAATTAAAAAGACCCTCAAAATATGACATGTACCCAAAGCTCCATATCATACTCCAACTATTGAAGCAAACATAGCCTTATGTCTCTATAAAACTTAAAAAGATGGAGTTAGCTTTACACTCTGACTTCCTGAATCGGAGAAAAGTTGCAACTAGGGGTAAAAAATGTTATTCCTTCATGAAGATACAAGTACAAACTTGATGACTCTTGCCATCCTTAATAAAGCAGTTCATTAGAAAATATACATTTCCAGAACTTAATTGTTGATAATTTTTACACATTATCTCTACAATTTACCTCTGCAAAAGTTGTAAAGCATGCCGTGAAGAAATGATTTTGGCAAAACAGCTACTCATGAAGTCATCAAGTAAGTTCTGAAATATACAAACAAAATTATGAGTTACAATGATTTCAAAGATTATTCCTTAAACGTATTCTACGAAAAAAGTCAAGGGTTGTGAAATGTAGGGGAGGCAATGGCTTTGTGGTATCATCACTAGATTATTAATCCAGAAACTCAGCTAATGTTTTGGGGACCTGGGTTTAAATCCTACCATATCAGGCAGTGGAATTTAAATTCAATACATATCTGGAATTAGGAATCCAATGATGACCATGAAACCACTGCTGATTAGGAAAAGAAAACTATCTGGTTCACAAAAGCCCTTCAGGGAAGGAAATCTGGTACCCTTACCTGGTCTGTTGACAAGTGACTCCACACGCACGGCAGTGTGGTTGATTATTGACTGCCCTCTGAAATGGCTAATAGCAAGCCACTCAATTGTAACAACTGCTACAAAATCTCATGAAGCAAATGAAAGCAGGCAACGGAAACAACAACAGCAAAAGCAGCCCTGTTGACCCAGCATAGGCCTCCTTAAAGGAGAAGCCTGGAATAGTCATACACATAGTATCAAACATTACAGTCAAAGTCCCAGACACCATCATCACTATCCCTGGAAATGTCCTGCCGTACGCAGCAGAGGTGGTGGCACAATTGTATACAGTCAGGAGGGAGTTGTCCTGGAGATTCTTAACATCGATCCCAGACATCATGAAATTTCATGGCACCAAGTCAAACATAGCAAGGAAATCTCTTACTGATTACCATGTACCATTCTCCCTTGGCTGATAAATCAGTATGCCTTCATGTTGAACAACATTCGGAGGAAGCATTGAGGGTGGCAAGGGCACAACATATATTCTTGGTGGGGGATTTCAATATCCACCAGCAACAGTAGCTCAAACAGTGATATTACTGATGGGGCTGGTTGAGTTTTAAAGGACATAGCTGATGGCTTAGGTTGACAGCAAGTGGCAAGGGAACCAACAAGAGGAAAAACATACTTGACCTCAACCTCACCATCTGTCCGCCACAGTTGCATCTGTCCATGACAATACTGTTAAGAATGACCTCGCACAATTTTTGTGAAGACAATGTCCCTCCTTAACACTGGCAACACCTGACATCATGTTGCGTGGCATTAGCACTGTGCTAAATGGGAAAGACTTCAAACAGATCTAGCAACTCAAGACTGGGCATCTATGAAGTGCTATGGTCTATCAGCAGCAGCAGAATTGTACTCCAACACAATTGGAACCTCGTGGGCTGGCATATCCCCACTCTATTGTTAATGTTAAGCCAGGAGTCAATGTTGGTTCAATGAAAAATGCAAGAGGGCATGCCAGGACAGCATTAGACATACATAACAATGAGGCGCCAACCCAGTGAAGCTATAAAACAAGACTATTTGTTTGTCAAAAAGAATTAGCAGCAAGTGATACACAGGGTTAAATGATGCCACAGCCAACAGATCAGATCTGAGCTCTGAAGTAGTGGATAATCAAATGACTCACTGGAGGCAGAGGAGGTCCCACAAACAACTCAATCCTCAATCATGGGAGAGCCTAGCACATCAGTGATAAGACTCAAGCATTCACCATAACCTTCAGCTAGAAGTGCTGAGTGGATGATCCATCTCAGCCTCCTCCAGAGGTTCCCAGCATCACAGATGCCAGTCTTCAGCCAATTAAACTCATTCCATATGATATCATTCCACAAGAAACGGTTGGATGCACTGGATACTGCAAAGCTATGGGGCAAGATAACATTATGGTAGTATACTGATGATTTGTACTCCAGAACTTGCCATATCTCTAGGCAAGCTTTTCAGTACAGCAACAACACTTGTTTCTACCTGACAGCGTGGAAAATTGCCCAGATATGTCCCTTACACAAAAAGCATGACAAATCCAACCCAGACAGTTATTGCCCCATCAGTCTAGTCTCAATCATCAGCAAAGTGATGGAAGTTATCAACCATACTGTCATGCAGCGCCAGGTCAGCAATAACCTGCTCCACCAAAGCAATGCAACTCCTGACTTCACCAGAGCATTGATTTAAACATCGTTGAAACAGCTCAATTTCAGAGATAAATTGACAGTGACAGCCCTTGAGTTTAAGATGCTTTTGACCAGGAGTGACATCAGGATACCCAGCAAAACTGGAGTCAATGGGAATACATGGCACTTAAGAAGACGATTGTGGTTGTTTGAGGACAGTCTTCTCAGCTCCAGGGCATCTCTGCACAAGTTCCTCAGGTATATGCCCTCGGCCCAACCATCTTCAGCTGCTTACCAATGACTTTCCCAACATCATAAGGTCAGAAGTGGAGATTTTCATTGATGGTTGCACAATGTTCAACACCATTTGTAACTCCTCAGATACTGAAGTTGTTCATATCCAAATGCAATAGGCCAGGACACCATCCAGGCTTGGGCTGACAAGTGGCAAATAACTTTTGTGCCACAGAAATTCCACCAATGATCATCTTTAATAAAAGACAATCTACACGTTGCCACTTGACATTCAATGGTATCACCACCATTGAATCCCTCACTATTGACAGCCTGGGAGTTACAATTGACCAGGAGCTCAACTGGACCAGCCATATAAACAGTAGCTACAAGAAAATGTGAGGCTAGGAATACAGCAGCAAGTAGCTTTCATCTTAACTCCCCAAAGCCTATGCACTATCTACAAAGCACAAGTCAGGAGTGTGATGGAATCTCCCCACTTGCCTGAATGACTACAGCTACAAAAATAATCAAAAACCTTGACACAATCTACGACAAAGCAACCCGCTTGACTGGCACCACAGCCACAAACGTTCAACCATTCCAGCACTGATATTCTGTAACAACAGTGTGTGGCTATCTACGTGATGCAATGCAGAAATTCACCATGGCTCCTAGGACAGCAACTTCCAAACCCACGACCACTTCCATCAAGAATAACAAGGGGAACAAATACATGGCAACACCAGCACCTGGATGCTCATTTCCAAGCCAAACACAATGTTGACCTGGAAATATATTGCTGTTCCTTCATTGTCGCTGGGTTAAAATCCTAGAATTCTCTCCTTAGTGACATTGTAGGTCTACCTACAGCACGTGGACTGCATTGGTTCAAGAAAGCAGTTCACCAACACCTTCTCAAGGGCAATTAGGGATGTATAATAAATGCTGGCCCAGCCAACAACACCTGCATTCCATGAATGAATATAAAATAAAGCCCTGATATCTATAAGGAGACGAGAAGGGGTGAGAATTGAGGAGAAAAGTAGCAAGTACGGAATGTAAATGTCTTTATTATAGCTTTATTCTGATTACTTCGTGATAGCTGGCTGAAAGTTGAATGGGAAAACAAATAGCAACAGGCACAGCCAAGCATCTATGCAGTGAGACACCAACAATCCAAATTACATGTAGTTTAGCTATCAGTTGTGTGCTCAGCAGTTCATTGATCAGCTTGTGGGCCAGTTCAGCTCTTTTGCAGCTACCTTGAGTCGTTATTGTGTTCATTCAAAGAATATGAGCATCACTGGCTAGACCAGTGTTTATTCCCCATCTCTAACTCCCAACGGGCAGTTAAACATCAACCACATTACTGTGCATGTGAAGTCACATGAAGGACAGACCTTGTAAGGACAACAGTTTACTTCCCTAAGGACATTATGTGAACCAGGTGGGTTTTTCTGACTGTAGACAGTGGTTCCAAAATCATAATTTGACTTTTAATTCCAGGTTTTTGTTGAATTCAAACTCCACCATCTGCCATGGCAGCATTTGAGCTCAGGTCCCCAAAACATTCCCTAGCCTCTGGACTAATAGTCAGACAGTAATAACACTAGACCATCATATACCCTTAGCTCTGTAAATTGTCTTTATAATCATCAAGATGAAAAGCTTTGATAAAATATCTTTTTCAGAAATACTCAAGTTCTGCATAATCAAATGACTATAATAATTAGCAGTTAATAAGGGCATTATTTAATTAATTTCTGCTACTTATATTAACTATATGTGTTTTAAAAGCATTATTAAAACATATTGTGGCATAGGATTGAGCAAGACACTTCTAGGTTCTTATTAAAAGCACTACCCTTGAATGTCAAACCTTAAGGACACTAATGAAACTTGTTTAAAATACAAACAGTACCTGAACAGTTGCGAACAGATTCTACCTGGAGTCCATTTGCCAGTCGATTTGTACACAAGTCAGATCACAATGCATGATAAAGTAAAGCAGCTGTTTATAAGTATACAAAGTCATATGTTGGGTCTTTTAAATTATACCCCTGTATGGAATCGTGTTCATAAGTATGAGCATTCGTAAATCGGACATTCGTAAATTGGGGACCCTCTCTAAACAATTCAAAACACTCCACTATCTTCCATTGTAAGGAAATTTTCATACATTGACAAATGCTATAAAATTGACTAACAAATGACTTTGCAAACTAATTTCAAAAATAACTTTTCACTAAGTTTTTATGAAGTGGATGCTCATACAAATTAGGTATATATGATTCCAAAGTTATTAGTTTGAATACTTCCATATAAGCATGTAAGAACATAAGAAATAGGAGCAGGATTAGGACATCTGGTCCATCGAGTCTGCTCCGCCATTCAGTAAGATCATGGCTGATCCTTTCATGGACTCAGCTCCACTTACCCACCACTCTCCATAACACTTAATTTCTTTACTGTTCAAAAATCTATCTTTGCCTCAAAAACATTCAACAAGATAGTCTCAACTACTTCACTGGGCAGGGAATCCTACAGATTAGGTGCAGGGCTGGATGAACACAGCAGGCCAAGCAGCAGCATAGGAGCAGAGAGGCTGACGTTTCGGGCCTGGAAGGGTCTAGGCCCGAAATGTCAGCCTCTCTGCTCCTATGATGCTGCTTGGCCTGCTGTGTTCATCCAGCCCTGCACCTTGTTGTCTCGGATTCTCCAGCATCTGCAGTTCCTACTATCTCTAATTCTACAGATTCACAGCTTTTTGGGTGAAGCAGTTGAGGCTACCTC